CAATGCCTTCTGCTTGGGATCGATCGTTCTTTGTATCGTTTCGTGGGCTGACACTGGCTGAAGATGTATTGCCGATCATTTTGGGATGATACTGAGTTTACGAGAAAGAAGACCAGCTGCAACAAATGTTGTGTTCTTCTTTACTGTTCACTGACCAATTAGGAATGCAGACACTCTACTCTGTCAGATTACTGGTGACAGAGATTGCTGATCCAGTTGCGAGAGAGAAAGTTATTTTATTTTCTCTTATCTTTCTTTTTTCATTTGTAAATACTATTTTTAACTTAAAAGTGCCGATAAGTGACATGCAGCTATAGATACATGATTAGTGTGTAAGTAGATGTGGTGAAAATTTGAGATCCACCATCTCCATAAAAATATTATGCTTAAACAAGGCGAGAAACGATCAAACAAACCAATACATAAATACGGAAATGAAAGAAGCCGGAGAGCAAACTATTAAGGGGGTGTGGACGGGAACATGCTGAAAGTTACTCACGGGATTTCATATCGCTTAATACACTGATCCAGGGGTTTCAATAAAAGCCAGTTATCGGCGGTCTCTCATTGTCCGTTAAGGTTGTGAGCAGGGTTTTGAGTTTAGGTTTCGCCTTACGGTCCAGCCGCCTTTGACGTCATCAACAGCTGCTCATGGAAAAAGTTACTCAACCCTTGCTGATCGCAGTCAGATATTGAACTTGGTCTTTACCAATAAAAATACTCAAATATTTATTTCAAAGAAACTGCAATTCCCTGAGAACGCTTTCAGGCTCAATTTATCAAAAAAAAAAAAAAAAAAAGAAAGAAAAAGGGAAGAAACCCTGGGTATGATTATACCACCCTTATAGAAACCTTCCTATTTCGTGGAAAACAGCGTAACTCTCGTTCTTAGAGAATGGGTATTCCTATCAGTCAAATTCCCTGACTCCTAGAATGGAAATATGCATTTCTTGATCAGGCAAACTGGTGCACGCATAGTGACCCTGTGAGTCCCTAAGGTTGTTTAATTACAGTAAAGGCCCTTTTTGTGTTTAAAGTCTATGTAATATCTATGCATTACCATCTATGTATAACTTAATTATCTATTTTCACATTTCTGTTCTAGTCCAGCTATCAGTGCCTCAGTATAACGACCTTAAACTGGTCCGGTGATTATAGAAAAGCACACTCTGATTGGTCGAGGATTGCGCCATATTTAGCTATAGTCACCACATGCGAGGTGATTATGACAGGGACTCTACATTTCAAATCGCAAGAAGTGTTAAACGCGTCAGAAGAAAATGCAATTCTGAAGAGCACAAATGATGCTACCAAGTTTGGCGTAACACTTTTCAAAAGAGAGACATGAAGTTCAATGATTGAATGAATTAAATGAACTTGTTAAGTCTGGTGGAAACTGGTTGCTCATCTCGATACGAGTAATCAAAACGATTGTAATAGAATGGTTTCAACATCAAAACGAATTTACAACAAAATTCGAAAGCACTAGAGAAATAATACAAGCGAATAACTGTAACACAAAACCCTCCTAAGAAGTACAACATTATAGCCAAAACAGTTGCAGAATCAAAGTCGGGGTGGGGACTGGGGAGGGGTGGAGGCAACGTCGTGCCAAAAAAAAAAAACTTTTTACGGGATCCGCCTAATGTGGCAAAAATTAATTTACGAGGAGCGCATGACTCCCCCACAGAAGCTACATAGATAAGCACCTGCTAAGGAGTTTGAGCGGGGGGGGGAGGGAAACTTAAATCGGGTCAATTTTTCCAAAGTCCCGAAGATGGGCAACCTCGGTCTTCAAACTCTCTGGAAAATATGAACCCCGTTTTCTGTCGACCAAGTCGTAAAAATGTGACCCCAGCTAGCGGCACATCCCCAATAGCCTCTGACTAGGAAGTACTTTCTTCTCGGAGTTTTGAGCTCCCCCCTTCTCGGAAAGTGGGAATGGATCTGATCATTCTGGTCGGAAATCGGTGGTAGTTTTCAAGGGGATAACATGTAAGCATGAATTATTGACGCAATTTTCGTTTGAACTCAGATGGAACAAAAGGGAAAACTTTTTCATCTGATCATTCGAACTGAATTTTTAAGTTCAATTTACTAGGGTTTGCCTTATGTTCTCACGTGTAATAACCTGCGAAGCAGGACCTGGGGGAAAGGAAGGGGGAATGGGGGGAGCGGAATGTGAGGAGAGGAGAGGGAGGGCTTGCCACAGACCCCCACTAACTAACGAAACGCCCCCTATTTTCATATTCATATCGTCTTGCATATGTCAATCAGCGCCTCTTAAAATGAACCAATCAGAAAGCGCCGTTAGCGAGAGCTCAGTGAACCATGCAAACTGTCAAAACAACAATTAAAACTTGCTCCACGTGAGTGAGAAATGTCAGTCGACAAGGAGAATCTGGTATCAAAATCTAAGAGAAGGAGCCGGAAGACGTAGTTTGCCGGTTTTGTGGAGTAGATTTAAGGATTAAATTTGGAAGTGGCTTCAAGAGTTTTGTAAACATTTGTAATCAGAGTCAAAGGGAAGAATTTCAGTGTGTCATCGCCGATCGCCTTCGAACGGTCGGTTTTCACTTCGAAAATAAGTCGCACATATCTCAAATTATATGCCTTCCTTGTGCAAGAAAAGCTAACAGTTTTTGCCAGTTTTATGAATTTTTGAATAAGGCCGCTTCTCAATGTCCGGATTCCCGCGAAGTTTTGTCGAAATGAAAGTTCTCAACACCGACAGGAAAAAGTCCAGTAGAAAGAGCTTGCGTGTCCGCTCCCCAGCACATCCAAAACCTACATCTAGCAGGGAAGCGTTGTTTGACTCACCGACAAAAGGACAACCCTCGATCAACTTCAGTGATGAATGCAAATTTAAACATTCATCCCTCTCCCCTCCGCACATTCCGCTCCCCCCAATCCCCACCTCCTTTCCCCCAGGGCTGCTTCGCAGGCTACACGCGTAAGTATGCTAAGTACAAACCAAGCCAAGTTTGCATATGGGTGTGGCACTTCGCATGTCTTGGTTTGAAATAGGACCAGGATACGGCGAGGGGGGGGGGAGGGGAGGACTCAGGTCAATTTTTGCTGAGTATGTACCCCTGGCCTCTCAATACATTCTGCGGCCAATTATAGACACCATCTTAGTCACCTTTAGGTTAATGTTATTTTCGCGATCCTAACTTAGGGCCTGTTCGCACTACGCGAAATTTTGTTGTTTTGCAAAAAAAAATCTGTCCACGCGAAACCATTTTCAGTGCGAACGATGTTTTTGATCCACCAAAATTTTCGCAAGAGCCACCAAACTTCAAAGATACCGTCAACTACTTTTGGAGGCCTACAATTTTTCGTCGGGCGAGGAAATCTATTGTCCCTTGACAGATAGCCTTCACTGAACTGGTCATCATATTTCGTAATTGAACGTCGCGTTAGTAAGTTGTCGAATGCATATGACTCTCTCCCCATTCTATATGTCTACGGAGGAAAGCTTCAGGGAAGTTACGTTTTCAAATCAGGATTCTACAGGTCGACGACGGCGTCGACGTTTGTTGAGCAGCTGAGTAAAGTCTCCATGATCGGTAAAAGCCGAATGCAAGCAAACAGCAAACAAGGGTGATTATAACATTTCGCGGGGGGCATTTTGCCTTGCTATCAGTTCTTGACCAGAAACGACATAAAAGAAAATGCACTGTCACAAAATCTCGGTATCTTTTTCGATTGACTGACATTTGTGGTTACCCAAATAATTCGCACGTCTCAAGTGCGAACGCTATTACAAAACGAGAAAATTCGTTGTTACAAAATTTTCAATTTTTTTGCAACTACTAAACCAAATTTTTCGGTGTAGTGCGAACAGGGCCTTAGTCACTTTCAGTTTATGCACCTACCTTACAAGGCCTGGACATCCTAAAATGAATCGACTTATTTGTTTAACAGGATGTAAACACTTCATTACCTACAGTACAAACGTTCTAGTTCTGTTGCATTTTAATCTTTTACTTATAGTACAAACATTCTGGTGCATTTGAAACTCACCATTTTTCAATCGTGAAAAATGCAGCTCCATCTAGCGGCACAGGAAGTACCCCCCGTATTTTTTTCAGCTCAAAGATCGTCACGCATTGAATATCCGAAGTCCCTATTGTGAGGCTGACTCACTCAACTTTTGAGTTAATAAAAAGAAAGATTAGAATTTGAAAAAAAAAAAAAAACTTCCACCAACCAAATTCTGTAACCCCTCATTTGAAGTCTGTTCTTTATCATGAAATCAAGATTTCCGTTTGATTCAAGTGGGCATCAAAGTCATTTAAATCTAAATTGGACATGAAATCGGCAAAATTCGTGCAATGTTAATCTTATTTATCTCCTCTTGAAGGGTGCACTAATCGTACATAAATATCTGGAAATATGAAACCAGCTTACAAATTTCAAAGAACCATTTTAAAAAATGGAGGACATCAAAGCCAGAAATTTACAAAATTCAACGTCACAATATTTACATTAAAATGAGGAAAGTTTTTGGCGAAAAGTTTAAGGTGTAATAATGGCAAATGTTACTGTGGGAAAAATCATTTTCCTGATCGTACCTTCGGCGATTAAAGTAATAAAACAGATAAAATCTAATGAAATGGGTGACCGTGATTATTGTTTGTATTTTGTTTGCCGGAATATATCTCCCAAGTGCCGAACAACTAATAAATAAATATCGAATTCTTGAGTGTCATGTCGAAGACATTAGTCTGACTTTCTGGTACTATTATCGCTTAAATGAACAATGCAAATCAGATTCATTCATTCTGATAAAACATTCAGGGAATATCAAATGCCATTTTGCTCGTTTTAGTAAAGATGTTTTTTAAAGCAAATTAGGTGGCGATCGTAATGGAAAATACATACGAGTTGTTTATATGCACTCACTGATTGATTGAGTGACAATGTCCTTTTGGAGAGGATGTGAGGTCACCTGGTGACGTGAGTTGGGCATTATATTCGATTACATGTCGCTGTTGAATTTGCATTGACTTTCTGAAACGTCGAGAGCAATCAATTTGCGTTGTCTAACTTCAAAGTTTAAGCTTTAGCGTAAAAACAGATCCATTGTCATTCACATGGAACATTCGCTGTCTCAAACACCACCCGTTTGTTTTGTTTAAAGCAAAACAGAATATAGGGTTGTATTTTTTAGAGGAAATATTCCTTGTGACTCTGGTGTCGGAATATGCTCGGTCCCTTTTTAAGTGCCAGCGATATTCATTTTTGATTCGTAAATTTTGCAGTCTTTGTAGCGTGAATTATGACAAAAGACCTGATTTTTACTATTTTACTGACGTTAAGCTGTAGTGGAGTCTTCAATGGAGGAGAAGCATATTTTAAACGTAAGTGTTTAGATGACAAACTTGAGCGGAAACCTGCGAGAAGCCACCACAGGTTTCGATAGTTCTTGGTTGGATTCGTTTATTACAATGTAAACATCTCTGATGCTGTGTACTTTTTATCTTTAGTTTGCAAACCAGGGAAAGGTCTTTACGAGCCTTACGAGAAGGTGGTGCTAAAAATTTCTGGCGAGAAATGTGAGGGCTGCCTAGAATTGGAAAATTGTACAACTCTGGAAGGCAGCATTCAAGTCCAGATGATAAGAAAGGCTGGCGATGCAGTTATGAAACAACTCCAGTTTCCGAAGTTAACCGAAATTACTGGACACTTACTTGTTTCTCTGATGTACGGTAAGCGAAGCCTAAGAGAGATTTTCCCAAACCTTGCCGTGATTCGAGGGCGTCAGGTGTTTCTGGATTATTCGCTTATTATTTATCAGAATGACGGCTTGGAGGAGGTAAACCTTCCCTCCTTGACTACGATTCTACGAGGCGGCGTTCGCATCGAGAAAAACATCAATTTATGCTACGTCTAAACAATACGATGGAAGTCGATCATGAGGAATACGAAGGTCGATGAATACACCTTGGTTTTGAACTCAAATAATAATGATTGCTATGATAGATGCTATGAACAAAAATGTGGGCCACCGGCTGGCCACGGGAGTTTAACAAATCAGTACTGTTGGGCGCCGGGTAATTCAAGCAACACCGATTGTCAAGCATGTAAGTAGAAATATTTCTTTTCGTATTATATGGCTTGAGATTGATGCGGAAATAACACATATGAGTGAAATAATAATTTGTTCTGACCAATTCTATCGTTCTGACTGCTCATTCAAATTTCTCAGTTGTTGCTTAATTATAAGCTTAATTAAAAGCTTATAAATATTGTTCGGTTATTTACCTTTTGTAAGGTTTTCTGGTAAACTTGAAAGGAATGTACAGTGAACATGTGGATGAAAAATGGCCGCAATTCTCATTCCTCGCTTTTGTGACATTTTTCAATTCAGGGGGAAACCAATATTTACGAACAGGAAAAACTCTCACGTTTATTTTGGGACCCATAAGTTATTCGATTTCTCTAGCTAGTTAAACGAGGAAAGGCGCTTGCATGTCTCTGAGGATTAACACGGATATTTGACGCATTTTTACGACTTCTTATGTTTCTTGGCGATCAAATAATGACAAAAATATCCGAAGACTCTTCCAATTATCTAATTAGCTCACTAAGAATGTTATTGCTTTTGTCAAGAAGTTTATGGAGGTCAAATATTTGTGGTAGCTTGTCAAAGTGGGTCAGCAGACATTTTTTACATATGATTGATTGATTAGAAAGATTCAACAGGTTTTCTTTACAAGGTTACCATTGGTAACCTCTGACCCCATGAGGGCTTGGAAAATTGATAATATGTGTTGTGGGCTGTACAATTTTTACTGAAAACAAATATCTCATTAAAATCTCAAATGCCAAAGTGCCCTTACGAAAAAAGTGCCTATTTTATATCTATTTTATATCTATTTTTTAAACTATTTTCTACCTATTTTTTGTGTATTTTTTCTCTATTTTCCCGACTATTTGAAAGCTGTTTTTTAACTATTTTAAAGCTATTATTTTGAAACAAAAAATAGTAAAAAATAGTCTGGTTTGCAAGTCACAACTACTGTAAAAATAGCTTTCAAATAGTGAAAATGCACATGCAATGCATAGATAAAATAGTATTAAAATAGCATTAATGAAATATTAGTTATAAAATAAAATAGACATAAAACAGGGATAAAATAGAAAAACAAAACCAAAAATAGGATGCAAGTACATTTAAAATAGACATAAAATAGGAATAAAAGAGGAAAAAACTTGAAAAAATAGGAATCAAATACCAATAAAATAGACATAAAAACAGGGATAAAATAGACAAAATAAGGATGAAATAGACATAAAACAGGGATAAAATAGGAAAAAAATCTAGAAAAATAGGATATAAATACATTTAAAATAGGTCCTAATGTATACTTCATGCAGGGTAAAAGGGTTTAAAAAAGCACTTCCAGTGTATGGATCCAGAATAAGGTGGCTATAAAATAGGTTGAAAGTAGGTGAAGATCAAAAAAGCATATCCCAATCCTCAGCCTAGGATTATCACTTTTGTGTGTTAAGTTGTAGCAATTTTCCCATTGNTGAATGCATCTTGGGACATCATCACCAACTTGGCAAAGTATAGAGATTGAGAAAGCTTGAAATCAACATCACCAAGCATGCTCCCTCATCTTTGATTCTTACTTAAATTAATAGAAAAACAAACAATTCTTGTATGCCAGGATTAAAAATCGAATTACAGTGATCTTGAATTTTAAAACAATTAAGAAAGAGAGCATGATGCAGGTACGACGCGTTTTCAAATCAATTAAGGTATAATTCTGTTGCCCCCTCTTTCTGTTTGAGAGGTGTTTAGGTTTCTCTTCTAGTGCATTAGCACAAGGGAGTCTGCAAACTCAAATTAAGTATATGTTTACATAGTTTATGGAAACAGATCACTCTATAAGCTGATATTTATAGCCATTGAAATGCAACAAACTTTGGGGCTAATTATTCTGACCATGAATCAAAAGCACCTTCAGGTTTGAAATAAACTTGGAACTTTGTATAAATAAAAAACAATTTCACTTACCTCTTTCACCATACTTGAATGATGGTGTTGTTTGCCTTCTATCGTTGTTCTTTGTGTTGCTCATTGTGTCTAAGAGAAGCACGATCTAAATAGAAAAGGCAAAATACCAACGGAACTCCACGCTTCTCTGATCGAGAGACAAGGTTTGTTTCACCCGCCAAAACTAAATTCTGTGTCCCGTATGTCACCAAATAAGGAAAATCACAAGATCCTGTATATACGCCGACCGTACTAGATGTCAGCGGAGCGTGACAAAAAAAAATGGCGGATAAGAGTGAGGATCGTTCTTTGCCAAAAAGCTAGAGAAGAAGAAACTTTCGTGGACCTTACAACCAGTATCTTTCTCAACCGGGACTAAAGATACCTCAAACAACATTGCAGCATTAGCCCCAGAACTTTCCGATGTCCACTGCTTTGCCCTCGGACGACCTTAACATGGAGTCAATAACTTACTAATATGACACTTCGTAACCGAACAACTTCACACATGGAAACCGGTCAACCATCACCCAGTTTGTTAAGCCAGACTGCTGTTCCTTTCAAAAAAGGATTACAGTAAGACGTATTTCAGTCAATACAAAGATTATGATCATGAGCAGGGCGACAAATGCGACCCTTGGATGGACCTCTTAAGCCTTCAGAACACATTTTAATTTAGTGGTTTCAGTTTTAAAGAATCTGTGTAGAGATTTTTATGACCGNCACGTTCACGTAAAAACGAGTTATACTCAATTGTGAAATATGGATAAATAAATTACTTTCTACTTACTTACTTACGTACCAAAGACTACGCCGAAACCTTCCCACTCGCGTAGAAGGATTTCCCGCTACGGCTGGATGGGAACCACTGACATGCGCAGTGACTCTTTTCTGGACAATTTTACTTCCGGTAGCCGTAGCAGCGCCAGCCGTAGTGATTTGCTTAAACTCCCTATTTTATAAACCGTGTAACCTTATAACTGGCATCCTAACCTTGTTAAAGTTTGAGATCACTTTATGTGTCAAGTGTTACTATTACTCTAAACAACCCAACTGAACACTACTTTATTCTCCTCAGGTCTCTTGCAGCCTGACGGAGCCGGCCCCGAGCCTGTCGACCTACAAGAGGATCAAGATTTTGAGGAATACGGCACTTTTGAGAGTGATGATCAACCAAGGGAAGAAGACGATGAAGATAAAGATGATGCTGATTAAATCGGCGGACGGAGTCACAACTTTTATGCTGAAAAAATAGAGCAAAATGAGGGGAAATAAAGAGAAGATTAAGCGGCAAATGACCAAAATCAATCATGTATTACCCTAGCGCAGTTTATTGTTATGAACGGCCTAAAAAAATACGAATGTAGAAGTTACCCTTTGTCTCAAAACATAAGGTTCTAGAATTTATTACCTGAAACACAAACTATTCTCGAGCATTAGTATCAGTGCGGTGGTTTTCTACTTGCTTTTTCGTACGCAGATTTTAAGGTGTGACTTGAAAAGGATGGGAAAATTTACAGTAAGTTGCATTTTGAACTTTTCAATCATTTCGACATAAATTACATGACCAGTGAAAGATAAATATTATGATACCATTTGAATACTCAGATGAATTATTTAAAATTATGTTGTTTCCAAAGTGAGATATATATTGATTCTCCACAACCCGAGACCAAGGATTCTTGAGCAGTCTCCTTGCCCCCTGGCTCATAGGACCTGGGGACGGCCGACGTTTCAGAGTAGCACTTAGGATTCCTTTAGTAACTTGACTAGGATCTTGTCGAGGTATATCAAGGGTATTAGAGTGAAGGAAATAAAGTGAGTACGGCCTCGTGTAATGGCAAAGTCCTTGTGAAAGAACTCATTCCTTTTCTCTGCGCACACCCACATCTCGTTCCAGTAGACAACTTGAGGTGGCTCAAAACGGTTTCCTTTCCTGTGATAATTTTTTGAAGCTACTAGCCTACTAGCCTTTTTTCCCTTTTATCCCCAAAACGATTTTGTTTCTTTTGTCTCCACCCAGCCTTGAAAGTTTCCACCCTGAGCTTCAGCGACTCTTTGCCTGTCACTGTATGAAATAATGCAATTTCCATTTTGGTCTGGATTCATATTATTTCAAACAGAAGTGGAAGTGTAGCTCAAACACTGGTCGAGTATTAATGAAGTATCTGTGAACTAAAAACTTTATCAGCTGACATGTGTCTGGACCAATAGATTAACCAACTGCTGGCCAATCAATTAGCTGTGATCAAGGGGCTATCAGTAGATAGTTGATGGACTATCAATCAACATCTCTATCAACTATTGACTGATGTGTCACCTGATATGTATTAAGCAAGGCTTAGTGTCCTACATGTTACTCCTGGATTTTACATAGTTCTTATTAACTGAGCGGGAGGTCTGTATGGGAGAATCTTGACCGAGGTCGCCAGTACAGACCAGTACAGACTGAAGGCAGTGAGGTCTGTACCAGCGACCAAGGTCAAGATTCTCCTGTACAGACCGACCTAGCTCGGTTAATAAGATGTTTATTATATGGCTGTGTCTTATATGCCAATTTTTTATATTCTTTGTACCTTTTTTTCTTGACCGGTCTAGATTCTGGTCTAGATGGGAAAATCTAGACCAGTTTCAATATTGATTTCAGCAAATCAAATTTGTGAATTCGGTAGTTCCCAGTCCTAGTGAGACACAGCCATATAATAATGTGCTATCAACCTTGATTGTGGGGACGTTGATAATCAAGATTTTTTGATTATCAAAACCTGCTTTTCTGGTCCCCTTTTTTTCTGGATATTGATAATCACGTTCAAGATCCATAACAACTTTCTTCTATGAAACATATGGCATGAATGAAACATCCCATTGCAACTGAAATTTTTCCACTTTCAGTTCTGTTGAATGCATTAGGAAAGTGTTTGACATAGATGGAAGGACAAACCATTTATGTTGCTATTCACCTATTGGGGCATGGAATTAGTGACCTGCATACACTGTAACAGCTTGAAACTGATTTACCTCAGCACTTTAGGTCAATGTACATGTAAAACGAGTTGGTAAGCTCTAATAACTTTTTGTATATACAATTTTGGCAAATTTAAAATTTTATGTGCAATAATTTGAGAATGTGCATCAATTCTCAGGTAACATTGATATATATTCTCTAAAAAGTTATTCAGTTTTATTTTTGGCTCATTATTATTAATATCATATTTGTCTCTTTTGTATCATGGTAAATTTATTTTTATCTCATCAGCAGAAGTTTCTGTCATTTTTAGGGATGAAAAAGCATTATTAGTAGAGTTGAACCTCTATTATCCAGACCTCAATTATCTGGACTTTTGGATTATCCAAACTTTTTCTCTGGTCCCATTTTTTTTTTTTTTTTAATAAATATTAAAATGAACTTTCATCTTCAAAACTTTTTAGTAAAGAATTCAGAGATTATTTTTAAAGGCAGGAAAAGTGCATTTAAAACAGTGCATTACCTCCTCTGCTCTCAAAAGATTGAGCACTCAGAGAGTCATCGAAGCAGTCTTTTACAATTAAAAATGTGTTATCTTTATTTCTTTTGTTTACATTATTGTCTCATTAATATTCACATTTTTGATCATCTGGTCTCTTGATTATCCGGACTATTTACCCAAGTCCCACTGAGTCCGGATAATTGAGGTTTGACTCTAGCTGTGAGTGAGATTGTTTGCCTAATGATAATCTGCTCCTAATGGGTACTTTTTGTCTTAGAAAATTCCATTGTAGATTTTTAACATGCGATTAAAGATATTGTAGTGTGTTTAAAACTACATAATGCAAGACTTTAAAATGCTTTGTGATGTTTCACAGTGTTACATTTAAGTCAATAAAATTCAGAAGCAGATATTTATTTTTCTAAGGTGTTAGGAAACTTAACTCAGTTGGCTTTGTGTGTGAGATGTTAAGGACTAAGAAGAGGAATTAGCAGAAGAGCCACTTTTTTCCAAATCTGTGAATTTTTCACTGTTTTTATCTGACCCACTTGAGATTCAAAAATAGATTATTCATGTTCATAAAAGTTTGATAGCATTAATTTTCTTTAGGACTAGCTACTACAAATTTTATGTGTTCCCCAGTGAGACAAGAAAACAAAGAAACAAAATGTGTTTGATTTTTAAGTCAGTGCATTTTCTTCTTTTAGTGTGTGACATGAAGTGTGGTGACTCAGGTTGTGTAAATGGAGGTCTCAAGGATAAGAGCACCTCATGTTGCAACAAGCAATGTCTTGGAGGATGTACCAAATCAGACTCGCCACACGACTGTAATGCTTGCAGAAATTTCCGTATGCCAAATGGGGAATGTGTTGATAATTGTGGGCCTAGCCTGTATGAGGTACAGAGAATTACTTTCTTGATATTTGATTTATTGTTCATAAGTAATGGTAACCTAAAAGTGTTTTTTTTATTAGAACATTGTAAGCAATCTAAACTCCCAGCCCTTAAACAGAGCTCAACTTCTGAGCTTCAGGGATATCTAAAATGCCAGGCTCCGGTTGTTCAAAGGGCGGATAGGGCTATCCAACGGATACATCGCTATCCAGGGGATAAGTGTTACCAAAATGTACTGCGCTATCCACCGGATAGAGGTTTATCCAGTGTATAGCGTTATCCATCCTTCGAACAACCGGGGCCAGGGGTTTCAATAAAAGCTGGTTAGTGGTGGACTACTAACAAATTTATTTTGCCTCACTGAATGATCAAAATTTGGCAAGTGAAGTTTAAAATAGATGAAAGCAAAACAATGTTTATAATTCATAAGCAAGTATTTTGGTAGATGGCTGTATATTAACCCCAAGTAGTGAAGAAGATCACAGAAAGACCTTGCCATCAATAAAACATGTGATCATATCCATCATGTTGTGAGAGAGTCAACAGGGTTCTTTACATGATCAAGCACAAATCTACTGCACAGGAAATTACTTGCAACTATTTCTGCTCCAAAAATCTCAAGTAAGGCCACTTCTTGAATACACTGCACTAGTGTGGAGCTCATTGTTAGTAGAGGGTTAAATGTGATGTTATTAACTCTTTGACTCCATAGAGTGACCAGCATCTAATTTCTCATAACAATTTCACCTTTGAATCCCACATTAAGGTCGTGAGATTAAAGGAAATGATCACTAACTAAATACTATCTTGATTGTTAAGTAAATTCTCCTTGTCAGCAGCTTAGGAAATGTATAGAGAAGAGTGGGGTTAATCTGCATGCTAATGTTAGGGTGTCAAGGTTTAATTTAATTCAGTGAGATTTTTTCTTATTAGTATGAGTGTTATTATAATTTCAGATTGATGAGTTCAAATGTGTGAAGACCTGCCCAAGGAAATACTTGAAACTTGGAATGAAGTGTGTGATAGTCTGCCCAGCTGGCTATAAACAAGGAGAAAACGAAACATGTGTGAAATGTGCCGCTGAAAAATGCCCAAGGGGTATGTCTAGGGCTAAATATTTCTTTGAGTAATTTTACATTTTTGCATTTCATGGCCTAATTCAATTTAAATTCTAGTATATGATGTAATGGCAACTGGGAGGTTTGAATTTCAAACTTATAACTTTCTTTAATTCTCTCAATTCCCCTTGTTTCAGACTAGGCTTTGTAAATATTGAAAAAATGATCTGTTGCTTGAGTATCATGGCATCGCTTTTCCTGTAGAGTTGTTTCAGCCAATGTGGAGAGCGTTGTTAGATATTTTTAGGGTGAGCAGTTTTCATGTATGATATTCATGTTTTATTGCTTGTGCAGATCTCTCCAGTCAGTGCTTAATCAGTGTACAGGTTGTCAAGATCCCTCTTAATTATTGACTCTTGTTTTGTTTCATGTATTTATTTCACAGTTTGTAAGACCAAAGAATCGGACAAACCAACTGACCATGAATATTATAAAGTACCAATTGATTCTCTGGAGACTCTCAATAAATACAAAGGCTGCACAGAAATTTATGGAAACCTAATCATTAAGATAAGAGGAGGTGGTGGTGGCTCAGGTCTGTTATTATTTAACAATCTTAAAATCTTTTCAATTTCTAGGAAGTAGTGGTCAAATTTGAAGCTAGTTAAAAGAGAGAATCTTATCCATAGTTGTCTCCATGTCACTGGCAGCCAATGCAGCTGTTTCAGAGGGAGAGGGGAGGGGGGAGGTAGTGATATTTTGGTAGTTCCCTACACAGCAGACTCAGTCTCCTAAGTATATGGGAAGGAAAAAATTCCAGTTTGAAATTTTTAAAGGAACATTTCCTTTTCAAATGGAATTATAATTGATTCATTTTTGCTGGTTGCCTCAGCTCTTAAACTCTTAAACTCACACTAGCTGTTGATTGGTGAGACAGTTTTTGGGTGTTTTTTTTTTCTTTCTTTTTTTTTTCACAATTCAATAGGCAAAGATGAAAAAGGGCTTTAAAACTTGTGAGTCAATTGCTCTCAACTTCATTTTATTTTTCAAAATGTGTTGACTTTTCAGGATAGTCACTGCACAAAAGATATTCTATGGACTTTGTATGAATCTTGCAAATAGTTTGCATATTTGTTGATACATATCCTATATAATTATTATTACATGTTAATCATATTTTTTACATGATTTTAATTTTCCATGGGGGATTAAATTGCCTTTGTTTAAATGTTGCAAGGATTTTTATTTGTGGGTCTTAAATTTTGTATTTCTTTTTTACAATTGCAAAAAATATGCAATTAAAGACTTGCAATATTAAGAGGCTGTCTCTCTAATTTCCACCTGGTCAATTTCATGTCAAAGATAATTTTGCCTTAAATTCTGTCAACTGAAAGACTGTACCTAGGAAAGAACCAAATTAGATTTTTTTTGAAAAACAGGCATATTATGTAACATCCTCGGAGACCCAGGGGATGTGGGTCGATTTCAAGTTAGGGCATGAGGAGCCCCTGGGGACATTGTCTTACAAGACTAGTTCCAAATGGTTGCAGTTGTTCTGCCATCTGATTGGTGCTAGAAAATCTTTGTGTTTTTCTGCCCAATCAGAGGGAAGTGTGCTTTAGAGTCCTTTCGTGTGTTTTAACACGGACATATATTAGTAGCTCAGTTGCTTGTTGAACCGTGCGACGGAGATTTGCTGGAGGTGAAAAGTTTCAGTCTCAGCACACAATGTAAGAGAAATTGATCAGATTGTCCGCGAAAATCTTA